GGATTCGAACCCGCCACCTTAGGTGTATGTGGCTGGCGCCTTAGCCGCTTGAGCCACAGGCGCTGAGCCCACACATACATTTTCTACTGCACTGTGATTCAGAATGGTGGTGTATGAGAGCTGACCGTGTGAGAGCTGACCATCCACAGTATCCTGGGTTAAGGAGTTTGCATCCGTGTTTGTGAGAGAGATTGGTTTGTAGTTTTCTAGTGATGCCTGGTTTTGGTATCTGAATTAGTGATGGCTGGTTTTGGTATCAGAATAATGCCAGCCTTATGTATGCGTTAGGAAGTACCCCTTCTTATTTTCTGAAGAATTTGTGAAGGAATGTAGTTTTAAGAGCATTGAAATGTTTGAGTAACAAAAACAAGGCACAAATGAGACCAATGTTGTAAGAAACATCATTTCCTTGGTTGCTGTCTAAATACAGAAACTGTAAAAGTGGCTGCCTCACTGTTCTCACTGTGTAGACACCTCCCACACTAGAAATACTCTTTGAAAGCTGAGAAAAATGAACTTTCAAAGACTTTCAGACGGATGCAGTAAGTACAGGAAATGACACGTGTAGACTTGAGGGTGAGACAGCACAGGTGACAGTCCAGCTGAAGCTGAGCCTCAGAGCTGGAACCCTCTGTCTGTGTTACTGACACGTGGTTCACCGGCAGTTTCACGTAGCAGCTGTGCTGCGTCACCAGCTGCCTCTTGGTGACGCGATCAGAAATGCTTTTACCATATCCTGCACGGCCCTGAACTTGAGCAGTCGGCTGGCTCGTGCAGGTGCAGACATGTTAACTCGTGACCCGTCAGCAGTGTGTTACAACCCCTGGCTGTGATAGACTCCGTCTGTGCTTAAGAGCAGGTCTCAAGCCTTTTGAAATTCTGACCTGTGAGGACTGTGCGTGCTCTTCTGCTCACAAGGTGCTTATGTTTTATGTTCAACACAGAGAATGTCTTTACCAGGCGCTTATTTGGGGACACAGGAAATAATTCTTTGTTTTGGTGACAGGATGTAACTGATGTCACTTGTGGAATTAAAAGGTATTTGACCATTAGTAATATGGCTGGTTTGGAAGTAACCGTGGATTTTAAGAAACTGATGAGATATTGCCGCATAAAACATTCATGGGCAAGAACTATTCACACTTTTCAGGTAAGAGTTGACTTTTATAAAGCTGTAAGTTGCTTACCAAGATATGGAACTTTGCATTGGTTTCTTTATAATTTTAGTTACTTTTATTTTTTTATTTTTTTATTTTTTTTGAGACAGAGCCTCAAGCTGTCCCCCTGGGTAGAGTGCCATGGCATCACACTCACAGCAACCTCCAACTCCTGGGCTCAAGCGAGTCTCCTGCCTCCGCCTCCCAAGGAGCTGGGACCACAGGCGCCCGCCACAACGCCCGGCTATTTTTTGGTTGCAGCCATCATTGTTCTTTGGCGGGTCCGGGCTGGGGATTTGAACCTGCCACCTTAGGTGTACGTGGCTGGCGCCTTAGCCGGTTGAGCTATAGGCGCTGAGCCTACTTTTATTTTTTTAATTAGAACCCCAAATGCACAAAAGTACAGAAAGTGACACACACACACACACACAGAGGACACGTGACCAATGTCTCCCCTCCATGCCTCAGGCACTGGTGTGGCTTGTTGGCACCGTACTGCACCAAGCTTGTCTTTATTTAAAATTTTGAGACTGTGTTCATCATGGATCTTTTTGTGCCTTACTTTTGATTTTTAGAAATACTACATTAAAATACTCTTTGTCTTGTTTACCAAGTTTCTGGCTCCCCCTTAACTTCTGTGCCTGAGGTGGGCGGCAACCTTGCCTGACCCTAGACCTGCCCCTGCCCCTCCCGCCAAGCAGCTTTGCCCTGATCTTGGTGTGTGTCCTCCTCATGCAGAATCCAGCTCTGTGCTCATTTGCTGTGTTGCCAGGTCACATGTGGTCTCACCCTGTTTTTATATGTCTGCAGCCTGTGTTTCTTTTGGGCCTAATAAACTTGGTTGGGGTATAATTTGCATACACAGTTTAGTTATGAAGCGATGAGCTTTGACAGATGTGTCCTCTTCCTCTGCCTTTGTGAGGACACTTCCTTTTAATTTTAAATGTATTTGGGAATAATATTAGATTTCAGATGAGTGGGGAAAGATGGTACAGAGCGTTCCCATGTACTTTCACCCAGCTTTTCTTAAATTAGCATTTTATAGAACATGACAGGTTTGTCAGAACTGAGGAGGACCTCGTGCCGGGTCCCACTCTCAGTGTTCCCAGTGTCCTTTCCTGTCCCGGGGCGGCATGTTGTGTTTAGTGCAACTTGCTTTTAAGCTTTATTTTAAGACCCTCGAGTTCTCACAGATGGTTCTGACAGAGCTGTCTGGCTCTATTATTTGTCTTACTGTTCGGAGCTTCCTGCTCTACTCTTGAATTGTGGGCCCTTTTTAAAAGCCATTTCAAATTCTTTTTAGAACCCACAAGGGATAAGTTAATAAATAAAACCCATCCACTTAAAGAAAACCCAAGACGCTATTCTAATTAATACTTATCTACTAGGGAAGGTATGTGCTGACTTAAAATATTCTACATAGGGTAGCGCCTGTGGCTAAAGGAAGAGGGCGCCGGCCCCATAGACCAGAGGTGGCGGGTTTAAACCTGGCCCTGGCCAAAAGCTGCAAAAAAAAAAAATGAATTTTTTTTTCTACATAAAAGTGAGGGTTGATGCAGCCTCCCCATTAGAACAACAGAACAGGAGCAGAGAGAGCTCCTCAAATTCATGGTCTGGTTTTTCTGAATGAGGCAGTGAGAAGTGGAGGGGTCTTTGTTACCACTGGGTTGAGGTTGGACTGCACAGTGTTCACTGGCTCGAGTTCCTGTTTCTTCTCTCGGCCCCGAGGACACTGGTGGCTGCTGTGTCACCACATTTTGTCTCTTCCAGGTTCAGTCCAGCTCGACAGACACCTGTGGTCAGACTCTGTTCTTGGTGTTTGTTGTAGGGCAGTCTGTGAAAAGGGCAAGAAAAGCCCCCCCCCCCACACAGCAGGGACAGACACTGTTGGAGACAAGTTGACTATTTGTGATGTTAGAAGGTGGTAAATTCTGTGAAAAAGAGGTGGGGTGGGTGAAATAGAGTGTCAGTGTCAGCCCATCGAGAACATGACACATGACAAAGACGTCCTTGTGAGGAGGTGGAGGAGTCGGCCTGGAGGTATCTGGGAGAGGACTGCGCTGGGAGGGGGTCCGCCTGGTGTCTGGAGCAGAGTAGGACCAGCACGGACCCCTCTGTTGGGGTGTGGGGCTGGGTCACCCCGGGGCCTTTGAAGGCCTGTACCGCACAGCTTGGCAGCTACTAGCCACGGGTAGCTAGTGAGCCCTGGAAGTGGGGAGCTGATCAAAGGAGCTGAATTTTAATTTATAACAGTGATATAAGAGTTGGTTGAGGCTCGGCGCCTGTGGCTCAAGTGGCTGGGGCACACCAGCCACATACTCCTAAGGTGGCGGGTTCGAATCCAGCCCAGGCCCGCCAAACAACAATGATGGCTGCAACTGAAAAAAAAAATGGCCAGGCATTGTGGCGGGCGCCTGTGGTCCCAGCAACTTGAGAGGTAGAGGCAGGAGACTTGCTTGAGCCTAGGAGGTGGAGGTTGCTGTGAGCTATGTCACGGCACTCTACCCAGGGGGACAGCTTGAGGCTCTGTCTCAAAAAAAAAAAAAAGAGTTGGTTGAATGTTTGGAATAGCGTGGATATGTGAAATCTCCTTTTTCAACCATATATTTTATGAACTCTAAATAGGTTCAGTGTTTCTGATGACAATTGAGTGTCCAAATTGAGTTGTGCTGGGTGTTTAGTGTACAGAATTTGAAAGATTTTGTCCTCTACTAATGATTTTTTATATTGATTATATGTTGATAATATTTTGGATAATGTTGTATAATGCAGGTATGTCATTAAAATTAATTCTGTTTCTTTGTTAATGTGGCTAACTGGACAGTTCTAAGGTACACATATTTATGAGTTATGTCTCTGTTGGCTGGTGCTGTTAGACTCGGTTTTTTCTTGGAGATGGGGAGCGGGGAGATTTGTGGCTGTTCACACGGCTGCTGGGTTGAGGAGCACAGTTGGAGAATAGACACACACATTATTAAAAGCAACTGTGTACAACTTGTCACCTTAGGAAGTTGTCAGAATTAAAGGGGGATTTAAAGAAATGGCAGGTGACTTGCAGCCGGTCACTGAAGGGAAGGTGTCCCCGCCCCACTTCCATGCAGACTTGCTGTCTCGACGTGCAGAGCACCAGGGCCAGTGCCCTGCGGCTGGTACAGCCTGACAGTTTAGTTTTCATCCTCCAGGAGGGAGGCATTAGAGCAGTGGTTCTCAACCTTCCTAATGCCGCAGCCCTTCAATCCAGTTCCCACAGGCTGAGAACCACTGCATTAGAGGAAGGCAGTGAGCAGGTGCCTGTGAAGCTGGCGCTCCTGACATCTGTCCTGACCATCTGAGCAGGGAACACAGGGTACAGAGCTGGAATGGGCCATGTGGAGGCTGAGGTCTGAGGACACTGGCAGGACTGACAGGTGCTCACGTGTGGACAGAGCCTGGCACAGAGAGGGAGGGGGCAGAGTCTGAGGGGGCTTGAAGGCCACACAGGGGTGGCCAACCTGTGGCCCATAGCCATGTGGATTGTTCAAGGGCTGATTTGCATATATGTGATGTTGGACGTTGTGAAAATTATGCAGGGACCTTTTTTTCTGCTTATCTGCTTTTAGTGTTTGTGTATTTAATGTGTGGCCCAAGATAACTCTTTTTTCAGTATGAGGCAGATGGGAGGAGGGTTGGATGCCTGGCGACTTGCTAGCCTAGCAACCGCCAGAGAGCTCTGAGCAGAGTCTGGCATGCCTGGATGTGCATGTCAGACCTTGAGCGGCTGCGTGAGGACAGGCGGAGGAGGTCAGGTGCTGGGAGACTGTTCTGTGTTAC